CTGTCTTCATGTGACTTTAGCTCCATAATAGATTCATATGTATTACATAACTGAAGTTCCCCAAGACAGGAGATCTGAGATGATCTCAGAGCTTTTTTCAGGATTTGGGATGTGCTGAGGTCAATCTCTGAGTCTCCAATGACACCTACAGTAGCTTCTTGCTGCCAAACCAAAACTAGTGTTTCCTTTCAGATGCGTTCTTGATCATATAGTGGAAACCCAAACTGAACATCCTTTCCCCCCACCTCGCTTTTGTTAAGGACAACCAGGAATGTAGAAGAACACAGTAAAATAGATGATCTCTTCACTAAAGCAGAAGTCTCTGCCCTCTAAAGTCTTTGCTCTGCATCTCCCTGTGGGGTTTTTTGGGCTTTCCCACCCACCTCTGAAAGCAGCTATTTCCTTTTTCCTTGGGACCTGATCTCAGAGGAGGCTCTTAAGCCTGTGTTTTGTCTTCTTGTGTGTCTGCCTTCTGAGCTCAAAACTACATGGACTCTATGAAAAATGCCACCTTTTGTTGTTGTTTTCCTGGTAAATGACAAGTAAGACTCATCCTGAATTCTTATTCAAGGTCACTTATGAGTTCTGATAAATCAAGAGAGTAACTGACTTTATCTTTTTTCCCCTACCATGGTACTTCCAGAGAGATCTGCTTGTATAGCCCGGTAAGTTCAGTGGGCCGGAGCCTTGAAAAGCAATCTCAGCATTGTCAGTCATGACAATGAGAGCATAAAAACATTATGAAGCCCTAGGACAGCCACTTTGGAACAAATAATTGCTTTCTTGGCTTGCAGACAACCCTGTTCGCAAGTACCCTAGGTTATAATAGCATTTTGTCGTGTTTGTTAATCAGAAATGAAAAATACGGCACAACTAATCTCCAGGGCTGCCAAGTAAGATGTGTGCATGTGATACTGAAAGACCTGAAACTTTCCAGGAGAGGGATCATCCTGTTCAGAAAGGTGCCTGGGGATTATGGAAACTTACTGCCTTGTCAGCGTGCAGACACTCCTCACCCTTCCTGTGCAGCTCAGCCAACAGCAGGAGCTCTTGCAGGGCCACAGAGGTGGTCCTGTGCTCGTGTTCCTTTTCAATACCTGTAATTTAAAGGCAGGCAAGCGGCTGAGTACACACCGGACACATAAAAGAGACATTACATTGGAAGCACAGCCTCTGTCTAGTTTGACAGGTTCAGCAATCAGGCTGTTGCTTCCCGTAGCAGGCTGTCCCAGGTCAAAGAGCCCGTACTATTCCCTGGCCACAAGTTTTTTAGGACAGGGCTAGAGCACCAAGTACACGTCCTGCTCTTAACTCGGCACCCAGCAATTACTTATGGACCTTCTTCTGGGGAGAGTTTGCCTGGTTCAGAGGAAATAGGCCATGATTTCTAGAAGCCTGGCAGGCAGGTGTTTCCTGTGATACCTAGAAAAACCCTGAATCTCACAAATCAAACAATCACCCAAATGCAAGATTGATGCTGAATATCAGACCTTTCACATATACTGATTGTTCTCTAACCTTTTTGAACAGCCAGGGTGACTGAAAGTATCTTGATTTAAGGATATGACTGTACAAACAGTCCCCAGCTGGTTTTGAGCATGAATTGGTGTGGAGAAAATCACTGTGCTAGGAAGTAACCGAAAACTTTCCAGAAAGCAGCAGCGTTCTGTGGTTGTGAAAGCCACTCACTGTTTGGATAAATGCAGCTATTACACTTACTGTATTTGTGCCTTCCCTTATCAAAACTGCCACTGGAGGTACCAAAGTGAAGGTGGCTGTGCCATTTTGATCCTGAGAGAGAAAACAAGGTGCTACAAGCTGTTGCCTTTTGCATGTTAGGTGAATCTGGCTTGAAAGCTCATTGATGCTGATCTGTCACGACAGCATAAGAGAAATCTTCCTCCAACAGCTGCTCTGCTTATGCATCCATCTATCTGAAAAGCAAACAACAAACTAAAAGCAATACCTCGTGCTCCTCACTGGCTGTTCAGTGTGTATTTTGGGGGAATAAGCGATTCATTGTCTAACAACTAGAAATAGCTGGGGGGAGTTCCAACTCACCCGAGGGACTCAGGCTGCTGTCCTGACAAGCGTTCTGCCAGCTATCACTCACTGCAGTGCTCAGCTGTGTGCTGCCATCCTCATGTCTTGGGTGTGTTTGTAAAGCCTTCAGGTGATGCAAACCCTCCCATTTCCTCAAGGACAAAATAAAGTACTAAAATACTGGATGGTGCAGAGGAAGAGAAAATACAGCCAGCACTCACATGTCTCACTGCTGGTGTTTGCCCCCATGTCTGGAGCGCTGTTTACTGATCTGTACTGATTGGCTTTGTCTCTACCTTGGGGGGCTGAAAGAACTTTTACAGGCTGGCCTCTAAGATCCACCAACAAAAATTCAGGCTCCTTTAACGTAGCCTCTAGGGCTGTAATCTGGCCTTTGCTGTGTAAGTCAGAGTGTGACATTTTGCTGATCTTGTAATCGCAAGGCAGCGGTCAGCAGTGATGTCAGGCTGAAAAGGTTATAAAGCCTGTTTGCCTTTTCACCATTGTTCAGCTTGGAGTCATTTCCCTGCTGAGGAGCTGAGAGAGGCTGCACCTTACAGGGGAGCGCTCTGTGGCCTGTTTTCGCTTTCACATGATCTGGTGCACTGGTGCCTGACCTGCACAGGCAGGACTGTGGCCAGAACATAAGCTTTTGCGCCAGCCTGTTGTCTTCTAGTGAGACTTAGGGTAGGTGGCTTGTACCGTTCTCCCAGGCTCATTAGGAGTAGCCCCTAAATTCTGTCCAGGGGATCAAAGAACAGATGTAGTCACATTGTTCACCTGAATACCACCCACACTAAAAGAAGTATCTACCCCAGAATACAAATATTTAAGAAAATACCCACCTAAAGTCATTGAAACATAATTATTAAAACCTTTTATATTACTCTACAGTACAGTGTAAATTGTTCCTTTGAAATACAATTTCGAAATACACTAGATTACATAATTTAAATAATGGCAAACTCTTAAATTCATTATTAGTGGTAGCAGAGCTATATTTACATAGACTTCTATTTCAGATGCAGTTTTATGTTACAGTCCCTAAGCCAGTTAAATATCAGGCTTTCAATGGGGGTATAGTCCTCTTCCACAGGTTCTACACACACTTGGGGTGTATGTGTCAGAGTGCAAGAACTTCTTTTAGTCTTGTTTGCTTTTTATTTTCTGTGTGCATGCAGCTGAATCTGAGCAAATTGATACCTTGATTTGTATTAAAGATGAAAGGCCTTTTTTTCAACAAGTATTTTGACTGAATGTATAGAGGTGAATAATGAGATACAGTCCTTAGGAGCAGCAGTAGAAAACAATTTCATCCAACTTGCATCCTCTGTTGCATAATACTGCACCTAATTTGGACCCTGACTTTACCTAATGCTGATGAAATACAGTCAATGGAAACCTCTCTCATGTTGTCAAGACTGGCTTTCAACACAATCCATGCAATGGCAAGCATCATACATCATTCTGCAGTGCAATATTAACAAGTCAAACTCAGTATTTTCCTCCAGAGGTCTGCTCCTTGAGGGAAGCCCATCTCTGTATATATATTAACAACAAACAGGTTGTGAGTCTAGAGGCTGGGAGACCAGAATTAGGCTGTGATGCTTGCCTCCAGTGCTGCTAAGAGTCTTCATGGGCCAGGCTCCTCCTTGTGTTGTCCATGGAGCAGAGCAGGTTCAAGCCACCAGGGCTCTTGGTGGTCCTTGCACATGGCACTGGTCAAGCCGATTCTCCCTGCTTGCTGCCCATGCAGGACTCAGGGCCTGGTGTGAGGGGTGCTGATCATGATGTTGGGCAGTGCATTGCGCCGCTTCTTCCAGGAGCCCAGCTCCCTCGAGTACCGCCGGATCTGCCTGAACCAGTGGTGAGTCCGTGCCCGGTCACTGTCCCGGAACACAAATGCCTCCCGCCTGATCTCAATGAGTTCAAAAGTGTCGTCGCAGTCAGGGTCAGTGGACACGATGCAATTACTCAGCCTCAAGGGCTCCCTGAGCAAATGGAACTTCCCGTTATTTTTGTCCCTGATGAGTACCAGCACGGCATCCTTCACGGGCCCTGGCTCAGCTGACTCCAGGCTAGACTCTGACACACGCTTCATGTTCACTAGGAGGAGGACCTGCATGTTCTGGAACTTCAGGGTCTTGCTGCCTTTCTTCACCCACTGGCCATCGGGCGGCTGGGCCAGCTGCAGAGACCCCTCCATCACAAACCGCGTTTCCTCCCGCAGCCAACCTACAGTTTTGAGGGCAGTTTCTCTCATCTCAATGTTGATGACTTCCCTCTTCTTCTTGCTGTCCTGGCGAAAAGATCGGAGGGTCCACGTGTTCCCCTCCTGCTTGGTTTTCATGTTGATGTGCTCCAGGTGAGACTCGATGCGGCTCTTGGCCTCCCGCAGGCTGCTATGATCTGGGTGGTATTCGGTGGTGGCCTTGATGATTCTGCTGAGCAGCAGTGGGTACTTGGTGACTCTTTGCAACGGGGCCATCAGGAAGGACCTCAAGTTCATCCGCCTCAGTGCTGTGTTGTCGTTCTGGGAGACATTGAGGAATATTCTGCAGGGATTTAAGAAGAGAGAATGAAATGGTAGCTCTTCTGCCAGCAGATGCTGCAATCCTAAATGCAAACGAACAGTGTGGTGCTTGACAGCTGCTGGGCACTGCAGCCCCCTCTCTGCCTTGAGAGTTCTGTCTTCTCAAATACCTAAAAGTAATTTCTGCAGCTGTGCTCAGCTCCAGAACAGTGATGAGGTGCTTGGGACACTAGCACACAGCATCCTAGCAGTCTTCTATTAAATTGTTGTAGAACAACAAGGGTGTGATCTTTCTCTGATACACACTGATGTAGGCCCAAGGCAGAGACATCATCTTATGTCAGGTTACATTAATTTGTAGCTCCTTTCATCGTTAGATTACAAAGCACTCTAAACAAGAATTCAGTACTGTCATCATGTTGAGCTGTTGTAGTGGAAAGAGAAGTGACTCGCCTGACGTTACCCAATAGGCCAGGGCTAGGAACGGGAAACAAATTCAAGTCATGCATGCTTCACACAGCGGCTTTCCCCAGTGGAAATCCAAACTGTGCTCTAGTGCAGCGACTGAGAGCCATTCTCAGCTGAGTGTTATTTGGTGACAGTTCAAGCACAGTGGTCAGTGGGCAAACACTGCTACCACGAAATACAGAAAACAGCTGGGGACCAACCTGCTGCCTCGGTGGAGATATCAAGGATGAATATCTTCTGGAGAATAAATTATTCTCCTCACGAAGAGAACAGCAATAACTGAAGAACATTAACATCAAACTTTGATCTAGTTGAACTGACCTAGGCTTCACCCTCAGCCTGGTGCCTTCCTGTCCCCTTTTCTCACCTGAGGAGCTCTTTCTCCTTCTCCAGAGCATTGAGCATATTCACGGAGGAGGACTGCTGAAGACAGTAGGTCTGAAAGGCTGGCAGCATGTTGACGAACTCTAGAAATATTTCGCCGATGCACACGGTCATCAGGTCATCATCACCCTGCAAACATGCAATACAGCCCCCGCGGGGTTAGCTCAGCAGAGGCACAAGCACAGAGCCTGCATTCGGTCCTATCAGCATGAGCTACTGCAGGATCTGGTGAACACCACACCAAAGGTGCAGCTGGGCACCTCCTTCCTGGAGGAAAGGCAATTCCTGCAGGTCTGGGGGGAGGCAGTGCATGGGGAGGGGAAGGAAAGCTGGGTTTACCGCTTCCTCTTCTAAACACCGAGAGCCATCCTTTCTACTTCTGTGGGCTCAGCCAGCTCCCCAGAGCAGAGGCTCAAAGGTCACAGGCCAGAGTGAACCTGCTAGTCAGGAGGGTGTACTGGGGCCATTCTTGCTGACAGGTCTGCCATAAGGCTGGTGCAGCAGTGCATAAACTAACAGAGAGCGTTTTGAAGCAGACGGGCGGGGTAACTCAGGTAATTGATGTGGCACTCAACTTTCATAGTTGCTCCCAGCAACTGGCCTGACTGGGAAGCAGTCTCCTTCAGTTGTGCTCTTACTGGCTACTTTGATGCCTACATGAAAAGTAAATTTCATAGTAAATTGTTCTCTGATTTCTGGATGTGTAATAAGATAAGGGAATAGTAAGAATCTGGTGCTACATAATTGCCTCTTAGCTTTGTCGAGTTGTGTGCTGACATGCTCTGCACTCGCTACTGAGTTCAGCAGCAAAAGAGGGAGTAGTTCTCTAGCTGCTGGCAGTTTTCTGGTGCAGTACTGAGCTCTCGCTGCAAAGGAAACATGGAAGAGGAGACAGGGAAACTCATGTCTGTTTGTAGAAGCCTTTGTCTCAATAAATTATTCACAGGGCACGTCTGTCTTCACTGTGTCAGGTGCATGAGAGTTGTTTTCAAAGTTGCCAGGTTTTGAGATGTGTCACTCAGCCTGACATGCGGGGATTCACAAAGGGAGAGGAGGAATGTGTTTCCTAAAGAACAAATCATCTTGGTGAAACTGATAGAGCAATAAGTGGGGTTTGGTTTCTTGAGGAGAGGAGGGTGCGGAGCTGATTACATGTCCTTTGCAGATATTGCTGCTCTAGAGTCTTAATTCTATTTCTCTGCCCTCTGACCACCATGCTGGTGGGGCAGGAAAGTTCCTTGTGCAAGGCAGGGCGCGCCAGTAGAAGCAACTGGTGCACAGAGCTGTAAAGACCAGTTGTCATCAGAGCAGGGAGCAGCCTGTGCTGCCTGGCCCCACAGCCAGCCTAGAAGCAAGCTGCAATAAGCTGCAACCCAAGGCAAATATACCCAAGCCAGCCTGAAGTGAGTCAGCTCAGGGTTGCAAGAGCATGGCCTGTAAGCTGAGCTCTGTGCCCGCATGGTTACACTCTCATCAGTGTCCAGGCTAACTGGCTTAAAGCTGACTTTGATAATGGGACGATTAGGTCCTGTTAATGGGATAAATGAGCTAGGCTGCTGATGGCCTGCTAATGTTAGTGGCATTACCACAGCAGAGAGCGAGGCCAGCAGCTGTGGCCTGGCACAGACCTACTGAAATCACTGGTTTATAGTAGCTGAGGGAGCAAGGGACCAGAACCCAGGAGTCCTACCTATGCTGCCTCACTAGTAAAAAAACTATTCCTGTCTGCCCAGTCTGGCCCCTTTAGAGCATGCATAATCATACCTGGTCAAAGGCCTGATCAATCTCTTCCTGAAGTATCTCCAGGAAGCTCTCATTGAGGTCGATGAGCTCCTGGATGTTGCTGAAGATGCCCAGGAGCTGCTCCTGGCTCAGCAGTCCAGCTGCCTGCATGGGGAGGTAGAACTCCTCTTTGATGATGCGCAGGTCCTCTCCATAGCTGGCCTCTGTGTTGACGAACTCCAGCACAGACTCCTTGCGCTCCGTCCTGCGTTTGCAGCACTTCTCACAGAGGTCAGCCCGCCTCTGATTGCAGTTCTGCACGTCTGTCTCCACTGGGAGGTCCCTTTCTCCACAGTCGGTGCAGGGGCGGTGTGCTTCCCAGGCCTGCAGGGAGCTCAGCGTTTCAGATGCCCTGCTCCTCCACTTTCTGGCTGGTGTCTGGCCAATGCCACTATCTGCCCTCTCCACATCCACTGACTTGGTCTGGTTGGCCTCGCTGGGATCCTGGTCATCCCGGACATCATTCATGCCAACAATCCCACTGTCTGTGCTCAGGCTGCTGACATTACTCCAGTGATGTCTGGAGCGAAGGGAGCCACGTGGGGCACAGCGGGTGTCATCAAAGCTGCCACCATGGCCAAGGTTGGCTTTTGCTACCACTGGACCTAAGAACAGACACGAATCATTACAGGCACTGCAAGGTGTATAGAGCTTACCAAGGGGCTCAAGCCGGCACAGCCATGACTGGTAGGAACCCTAGGAGAGCGGGCTAGGCCTGGTGAAAGCAGGGCTGTTAGCTGTGTCCCCTCCAGTTTTGCTGCTATGACTCGCGAGTCAGAAGTAAATGGCTCTCAGGTGAAGCCCGGGGCCTGTCATCCCTGCGCTACTGATACCTATGAACTCATTTGAGTTCTCTTTTCTCCTGCCATGTGTCAGGCAGGGACAGAGATACAGTAGTATAGATCCTGATTTCTTGCACACCTGGGTTAAACCCAGAATGCTTCCCTCCCCCCAGGTCAACAGAATTACTCCATATTTACACCAGCATAGCATGTCTCAGGATCTGGCCCATCAGCCCCCTCTGAGTGTGCAGAATGTGGGTACCATAGTCTCGCTCCTGCCGGCGCTTCTGTGCGTGCTGCCGTGCTGCAGCTGCGATCTTCAGCTCCAGCTGCTTCCTCTTCACTGAGTCTGCCGGCATGGGGTCACTGAAGTGCGGCCGCAGACGGCACTCCCGCTGCGCCTTGGCACCGTCTGCACTCTCATGGACAATGTCAGAGCTGGACCGGCGGCAGCCAGAGCTGGGGGTGTGGGTTTGGAGCAAGGTGGTGGTCACAGCGGCACCTGGTTTGCAGCCACTGGACTTTAGTTGCCAAAGGAGAAAAAAGGAAACTCATCAGTGGTGAGATTGTAAGTGTAGCTTTGTTATGCAATCATTAGAAAATCTGTCCCCCCAGAAATCTGCCTTGCTTAGTCCTAACAGCAGGGATCCCTCTCCCTTTGCTGTCATGTAGGTCTGAGTACAGTGGCTTTGAGGTAGCAGCATCACAGCTGTCAAATAACCATGAAGAAGTCAGCAGCATAGCCCTGGCTAAGGGCCTGAAGGGGGCCTGAGCCGGTCCTCTAGGGATTCGAGCTAGCTTGCCTCTATCTGTGAATGTTTCAGTGCTGCAGGGTCAGGAGGGCAAGCCTCAATGCCTTACCTACATTAGCAGTTTGATCAAGTGGGGACTAGGAGGGCGTCTGTCTGATCTTCAGGTCAGCGCAGCAGTGAGGGGCTGGTGGCACACTGAAAACCATTAAAGGGTTATTGCTGAACTCCCTGCAAGAGATGCAGCGGCAGATAGGCCGAGGCACAAAACTGGCTCCTGTTTCATTAACTGTAATAAAAAGGGAACTAGAAATGCTTCTAACAGAATTTAATTCCTTATGAGAGTCAGTGTGATTTCAGATCCCAGGCTCCCAGCCTGACCAGTTCCTGCAACAAAGGGATCCTTTAGAGCTTCTGAGAAGTAAAAAAAGCCCTTGAATGCCCGAGATGAGAGGGGAATTCCTCTCCCTTACATTCCCTGCAGGTGGAGTGTCGCTGGATGTCTCACTGCTTGGCTTGTCCTCCCAGGTCTCTGTTGCCACGGACATTGCTGTGGGCTGTTGGCTGTCCTCAGGAGGTGGGAGATCAGCTTCCCTCAGATCACACTGTCCCTTGGAGGGGGATTTGCCAGCAGTCTCAGCATTGCAGCTGCAAGGGAAGAAGCAGACTGATTAACATCACATATGCAGTTCACCTGACGTTCCAGATGAGACTGAGCAGCAAGCTCAGGTTCGAACAACCAGCTGCAGCAGTTCAGGAAAGGTACAGGCAGGACTGGTTGGCATGGATGGCACTACATGTATTTCAGGGCCTCTAAACACAGCTCAATTATAGCAGTACAAATTGGGTAATTGCACTCATGCCAGCATCAGTCTGGGATATCAAGCCTTGGGTACTCACAAGGCATTTTTTGTGTCCATAAAACACGAGGTTCTCCCACAGGGACCAAAAAAACTTTCTTTCTGAGTAGGCCATGTCCATATTTGCTGCTATTTAGAGATGTTGTCAACACAGAAACCATATTGCTCATCTGGAAGAAAATCACCTGCTAAAAATCATAATACTTTGAAGAGATTAGAAGATTAAAGGAGCTTTCCCTCTATTTTTCATCTCATGTGATCTCAAGCCTGCTGAAACCACTGGAAAGATTCCCTCTGCTTTCAGTGAACTCAGGATCAGATCTTTTGGTGCCCTTAAGAGTCCTGAAAAGATTGGCAGAGTCTGTTGTTCTCACTTAGCAATTCTGGGATGCTCCTATTTATGGCTGGCTGGTGCTAACAAGGGCCTGGCCAGGCTGATACCGGCAGCCTATTCCAACCCCATGTTCCTCTCTCTGTAGACATCACCACCCCTCCAGACAGACACAGTCTGGTGCAAAACCACTGACTTGACAGAGTAGTTGACAGGCTTGTTTGTGATACTACTTGTGATACATTTTTCCAACAGACTCTCTAAGACACCTTTTTCCATGCATAATGAAGCCTGCTTGGAAGAATATTAATTTCCTCACTTTGGATTTACTTGATTTTTATGGGCTTGGATTCTTTAAAAAAGAAAGGTTGTGAGGACTGGATATGGATGTTTGTATATACAGGAAGCCAGTGTCTGGAACATATTTCAGGGTATGCATGTATGCTTAACAAGAGTCTCCTGTGACAAAAATCTACTGTTTTTTTAAAGGCTTCACTTGTGAACTTATGCTGATAGGTCATACTGCTAATGTGCAGTTCCAACACTGTCAGCTACAAGCAAACACATGAGACAGATGGGCATTTTCCTTACAATGCATGACAGTTGGCTCCAATCACAAACCATCGACCAATACTGAAATTGCTGAAGAGGGAACAAATCTCCCAGAACAAATCTCCCAGAACACAAACACAGCTCTGTTGTCAGGCCAGAAAAGTTGGTTTGTAACTTCCTAGCCGATGCTTTTTCCTCCATGTATGCTTTCAGGTCCCAGCTGACACTATCTAAGGATTTACCAACTTATAGAGTTGAGCCATGGCTATGCAGCAACAGCACAGTGCTAACAGCAGGCTCCTGGCCTTCACTTTTTGCTGTGGGAACTCCCTGCTGTGTGCATTTGGAAGCATCACTTGTCTCCTGCAGGCCTTTTCTCTCCAGTCTGTAGAAAGGGGATATCAACTTCAGCGCTGTCATGGAGCAGTCTGTAGTACAGACTGTATTAGCCCCCTTACAGGATTGCAGTTATAGCAGTGCAGGCAGACTGCAAGGCTGTTGTCCCACCATGGTACTGTTCTGGCCTGGTCTGTTCTGGCTTAAGAGGTTTCCGTTTCCTTCCTCCCTCCCTTTCCTAGTCACATTTGGGGTACCACTCCTACAGCCTTTCCAGTGTAGCTGTCTGTGTGGCCATGATCTAAAATCAGTCTTGAAATTATCTGGTTTTACAAAAATATCCTCCCTCATGCATTCCCAGCCAGATCATTTCATCGATGTTTCACTGAGTTGTGTGAAGTATGAACAGTTCTGTGGGAGGGAAGGCAGAGATTAAGGAGCAAGAAAGCTCTTGAAGAGGATCTGCCACTGCCAGAAACCACAGGTTCCAAAAGCTGCTCCTGCTCAAACAGCTTCTGGTTGAAACGTGCACAAAGAAGGGATCATACTGAGGCACTGAGAGGCAATGGGATGTGTCCAAGGTCAGTAACAGAGCTCAGAACTGAATCTTCTTGTCACACCACCTCCCACCATACAGACCATACTCTCAGATAGACACTGAGCTTTCATTTGTCATTTTTACATTTTTGTAGTGCTTCCAGATCATCCACTTAAACATGGAAAGTACTCCACAGTATTATTTCTCCTCTAAATGAAACTGACCGTAGCTCGCTGCTGATAAGGTCTGCAGACCAGATGTCACTGTTTATTGTGGTTTCCACAACCCAATAGAGATATTTAAAAAAACATCTCCGAACATGACCTGCAGTAGGAATAAGAGCCAATACTACCCAGAGAGCTGAGCTAAGTAAGGGTGACTGAAGACTTGTGAAATTCAACCTCCTCATGGTTGGTCAGCTAGAGGTAAAAAAGGCAATGATGCAGAAGCAGAGGCACTGGGTGTGCGCAGTGGAAATGCACATTTCCTTCACGGTCTCTAGGGTTGTACCGTTGTCCAGGCCTGCAGTTCTCAGCCCTTTCCATATGTTCCTGACCTTTTCTGACCAGCGGAAACATTTTGGCTACTCCTTCCCTGCAAGAACCTGCCTTTCATACTTGGAGTCCTCTGCTATGGGAAGCTGTTATTGTACCCACCATCTTGGTGTCATCCCATATACACCCCATCACTCTTTTCAGGAAGCCTTCTTTCTTAGTCATGCCCTTTGCTTCCTTGTGCAGGTTTCTGTTGCTAACTTTTCCCCATTTCATAGACAGGAACCCCAGGTCCTTGCATGTCCTTATAATGAGCAATTTGCTGTTTAAACAATTTCAGAAAGTAGACTGTAGATTGAAATGCCTACAGTATTTCCACCTAGATCTCAACACCCCTTCCCAGCCAGGATTAAGTTAAAGGTATCCAGTGACCTATGAGGGGGCTAAAGGTGCCATTATTATGAAGCTGAAAATTAAATCTTCACTGATTAAATATTAAGCCATTTGAATGAGTCTTAAGTAATTAACTATGAATTACTAGGGAGGCAACTAACTCACCAGACAAAACTGCTTTTAAAAGGGTAACAACACAGAACCACTAGAAAGAGAAGACAATGTCAGCTGTCTTACTCTGTGATGCGCCATCACAGGATCTCTATCAAAGACTTGCTGAGCTCAGTATCTGTGGAAATGGGACCAAATCCTCAGCTTTCATTTCATTTAAGACTTAGAAAAAAATGTGGCCTGGATGTCAATAATCATAATTCAGGACCCAAGACATCCATACAAAAAGTCTCCCACCTATGCAGTGAGAATCAGCTTGAGTTATAAATGAATATTTAGGCGCATTACAGTGTCAGGTGAAAATGATGGAAAACGGAAATTTCCAGATAAAGGAAACTGAAGTTTCCCAATAACCAGTACTGTGGCACTGGAACAGATTTGTTTTCCTCCTACTATCCTGAAGAAATTACGATCTTTACCATTAACTGGTATTACTATGGAAAATAAACAAGCCAGCATGGTTCCTTCACATGAAACAACCTCTCTACTACAGGAACCACTCTCATTCTCAGTTTTAGATCAATTTTTATGTTCATAAAATCACCTCATATATTTTGACAAATCCAAGTAGGGAGACTGAACTCATCTGCAGAACAAAACCCACTGCAGATATTAAAAGTACAGAAACCACACTGAAAACATGAAAGCCTTGGGCAGAAAGTGTTTGGAGGCAGGAAGAGCAGTGGGGAAACAAGATCATATGCACTACCCATTTCCTGTATACTGTGCTATGCATGAGCCTCGGGTACCAGGTTCCAGTCAAACCTTTCATCTGCATGGAGACAGCTGTTCTTATTCTCTTACATTTTGTGCCATTCTGTGTATTTCATTTCACATCTGATAAAAATAGCCTACTCAATAAAAGTGGTTGCATACCATAACTCTCATATGTTTCTTCATTGGATTTTCATACTCTAGAACAAAAGCACTGGGCT